GAACCAGTTCCACGATTTACTGGAACGAAGGAAGAGCAGCACATAGCAAACACTGCTACAAGGTCATTGAACTTGGCCCTCAAGATCAGTTTGATAGCAAGGACAAGGCCCGCGTTTGAGTTCAAATCCATTGAATTGCGTCTTCCGGAAACCCTTGCTTTCTCCTTTCCATACTCTAAATCCACAGCTGTAGACTGTAGGCCAACAGCATGGGCCATCCGAGCTATGCGGCCAACTCCTGCAAAGTATTCTATCACCTGGATCTCAGTCTTGACATCGCCCTGATCAGGCATCCACGACACGAGCAGAGTCAGGAGGATGATCACCTGAGGCCGGCAACGGGTGTTTGTAGCACCATGTTTGTGGGCCCACTCTGTTAAGAAACTGATTGATTTATACACATGCAACAGCTGGCTGAAATGTGGACATGGTACTTTGGGCACACGAAGACTGAACATGCGTCGAAAGAAGACATCCAGTTCTGTCGGCCCCATTGCTACTACCGACCGCTTGGCACGGGTGATCCAACTCACGGCTGTTCATTGTACAGCGTAAAGCTAGAATTGTTCCAATTCATGCTTGCAGCAATGCATGCTTGTGAGACACACACACACTAGCAAAATAGGCCGGGAAAACCCTCCGAGGTAGAAGCGCATGAGCCTTCCCCAAACTTTGCCAAGCCAATTTGTCCACGACGGAGGCCGTACGTCTAAACCTGGCAAAGGTGAAAGGGGTAGGCTTCAGCAATATATGCATGCACCACTGACCCAAAAATAACATAGGAATATGGCAATGGTTTCAGCTGTTGACCAATGGCAGCTTCTATGATGCACGAGCCCAAATAACATGAATCAAATCACGAGCGGACAGAACAGGAATAAGGAATGTTTTCCATCGTTGACCAATGTCAGCTTCTATGACGCACGAGCCATGTGCTCGTGATACCCCAAATGCGTGCCCTTAGGTGCACACAGCCCATATCGAATAGTGGCAGACTGCTCACTACCACACACACACAAAAGCGTGAATAAGTCACTGCGACCTAGCTTTCCCCTACAAGCTTCAAAAAGTTGGGAACACAAGTCAGAGCCAGCTTCTTGTACTGGGCAGCATCTTCGATGGACCGGTTTTGGTTGAAGACCTTGATGACCGTGCTCCACCAAGGTTCCTGCACGGTTGTTGCCATTCCCTCAACCCATGCCATGAAATTTTGAAAGTGGTTTAATTCAAACTTGAACTGAAGGTGGGAGTTGTTCCAGGAGAGGTTGAAAGGACTTAAAAACGAAAGGTGTCACAAGGATCCTTGTGACACCTTTCGTTTTTAAGTCCTTCAACCTCTCCTGGTTGGGTGGGCCATACAATGGAAATTTAAGAGCCGCAAAAAATGTGAACCCTGTCCTCCCATCGGTTGATGGATTGTCCCATGTCCACGAGCTTCGGGCCAATGTGGGTCTTGAAAGTCGCTTGGATTGCAGCCCACCTGTCCTTGGCTGGAGAAGTCTTTGGGCATGACCTGCGGGCAAAGGAAGAAGACTCACGACGCTTCTTCTGCGCCGGCTCACTGGCCTGTGGGCTTTTGGGCTTTCCAGCCCCCTCACTCTCACTCATAGATCCCTCCTTGACCTCCGCCCTCTGATCCCGCCTCGGCTTCTTGACCTCTTTTCGGGGTGCATCATCATTGTGTTCAGGTGCATTCTTGTTCGCTTCAAGGCATCCTCCACCTTCTTCTCAGGAATTTCCTTCTTGGCCCGAGGCTTCCTCACCTTCCTCTTGGGCTCTGGCGGTGCAGACTTCTCACCATGGCCCTCATCCTCACACTCCTCCTCCTCCTCCTCGTGATGATCCTCCTCCTCATCCTCCTCCTCCTGATTCTCCTCTTCTGGATCATCCTTCTTCACAGCCTTTCGCTTTGGACTTGCTCTTGCCTTTCTCTTGGGGATGGCCTTGGCCTTGGCCTTGCACATCCCCTTCCCTTTGGATTTGGCCTTGGCCTTCGCCTTGGCCTTTGGTTTGTTCTCCTTCTTCAACTTGAACTGGTCAAGCCTCGAGACTAGAGGCAGCTCTTCATCTGAAGGAATCACCTCCTGCGGCTTTTCATCCTGATCATCATTCTTCGGCTTTTCTTCCTCCTTCTTCTTCTGCTTCTTGTTGGCCTTCGCGGCCATATCTTCTCCATTATTCTTTTCTTCATCCCTTTCATTCGGCTTCATCTTTCGTTCCTCCCCTTTCTTCTCATCAATCTCTTCAAAAAGCCTGCCCAGGTCGAAGCTTGAGTCACCCTTCTTCTCTCCAAAAAGGTGAATTGCATCCTCCAAAGTTCTTCCATGTTGGCTCATGGCTGCCAGCAACTCAACGACTGTGGCAGGGCTCCAACCAGAGGGTGCAGGAGCTGCAGGTTCTGGCTTGGAGGTCGCTGGGGAAGTTTCAACCTCAGTCAGCTTACACGGCGTGCAGATCGGAGAGGGAGATGGGAACCCTGAATTGTATCCCTGATGGAACTCTGCAGAGTCGTCCCTAGATGGGACTTCCACGATCTCAGGTTCCTTCGGAACCTGGCTCTGAGGCCAGTCCCCTTTCTCCAGTTGAGATGCAGCCAGCTGTGATGGCTGCTCACACTCCATCTCCTGGTCAAGCAAAACCTCCAAATCCGGGTCCTTGGCAGGGCCCTCACAGTCCCAATCGCCCAGCTTCATCGTTGGCAAAGACAGCAAATGCAGTTGCGCTTTCAAGTCCTCGTCCTCTTGAGACTTGGGCAGCTCTTTGGCATCTTCCTGAGATTCAGCCACCTCCTCCTGGACCTGGGCCCGAGCTTGGATCTCTGCAAAGCTGTGGTCATCATAGAGAAAGGGAACCGTTTGGTCTTGATCCCTGCAGCAAACTTCAGCACTCTTCGCATGAGCTGCAGACGCTTTCATCTGCTGCCGCTTCTTTTGAAGTTCCCTCAGATTCAACCAGAGACACAGCCAAGACTAAACACCGTGCAAAAGACAGAGAAAGTCAGCAGTTCAGCAAACACAAAAAATAATTGAAGAAAAGCCGGGACTCTCAATCATACGAATCCTGGCTTCCACATCCAGTTGCCCGTGCTGCTCAGGAGTGCCCTTCTCAGGTGGTGGGCCACCCTCCAAATGCCCAGCAGCCACAGCAGCCTTGGTAGCCTCAGCAGTGACCTCAGCAGTGAAACCATTCTCAGCTGGTGGTTCTGGATGCTCAGCAGCCTTGGTAGCCTCAGCAGTGACCTCAGCAGTGAAACCATTCTCAGCTGGTGGTTCTGGATGCTCAGCAGCCTTGGTAGCCTCAGCAGACTCCTTGCCCTCACACTCACAAAGCTCGCTGATATCCATGTATGGGTCACCATCGATCAGGATGAGACCTTGCTCAGCCTGCTTCAGCGATGCTTCCTCCTTCTCAGCGACTTCAGCTGAGTCACCATCATCATCACAAATGACCACATCAGTCAGATCAGTTGACTCATTCTCGGGTTTCTTCACTTTCCGCTCCTCCTGCATAGCCCACAATTTTGAGCCCCAGTGAAGGAAGATGATGTCATAGAAGTCTTGGACACCACATGCCTTGCAAGAAACTTGGAAACCAAACCATGGGTCCATGGGAACTGCAAGACAAAGTCAACACAAAAAAACAAAACTGGCAAAGTCGGGTAACTCGGCGGGAAGGGCTGGTCTGGGAAGTCTCATGAGAGGGCTTGTCCACACCAGACCTTCGGAGCGAGTATGAAAAGAGCTTTTTGATGACCCATGCATCGTGGTGAATGCCGACCGGGTCCATGGCCTTGCCCAAGAGGTTGCGCAGCTTCCACACCTGTCAGGGAACTTTGTTGACCTTTGTTTATGTGAGTCAAAACCATGTCAGCTCCACCTCATTTTTTGAATCAACTAGCAAAGAAAAAATGTTTCCAACTCACTGTCGCCTGGGCTTTGAGAAAGTCGATACCTGGAGGCTTCACCACTGTCGTCACAGAACAATGATGGGCAGCAACCAAGCACATGACGCCAGAGTTCAAGCCCAGGCACTCCAAGCTTATGACATTCTTCTTTTCCTCACTGACCCACCGGATCAGCCGTCCATGTTCCCTCATGACATCCCGGACCAAACGGCTATCCTCCATGCTTTTGGCCAGTGTGAAGTCGGCAACCTTCTTTCTTTGGGCCTTTGCTTTAGGCACCGGGGTCGTTACCCCGGATGCATCGCCCTCGACCATGGCGCTCATGGGATTGCAACTCAGACTCAGACCTGTGAGCTAGCAAACAGTGACACCCCTTCACTTGAACACAAAAGCTATATTAAATGAATTGTGGAGCCAAGATAGTGCACACATCCGTCACATCCGTGAGAGCATGTATATGCACTGGAGCTGATAAACATGCCGACTTCACACGCTTCGTGCAGGCCCCACGAAGCAGCTGCCACTGACGGCCATTGGCCGCTCAAGGAAAAAGAGTTGCAGCAGCTGGATGAGGTGGTGCGGAGGTGGTGATTTTTTTGCTACTCATATAGTAGCTTCCCGTCACGCTTCGCCGTTCAACATCGATCATTACAATAGCTACTATAGGTGATGTTTGCTTGGTTCGTCCGACATTGTTTGATTCACATATCACAAGTCCCAACAACCTTGAGAAAGTGCAAGAAACGCCTCTGCATTGCAGAAACTGCCTCTGATTCAAAAAAGCAGTTTTTTCACAAGAGGCTTAAAAACGACAACCCAACAATGATCCAGGTATATATATATATGGGACGTGGCAAATTAAGGGAAAACGGGCCAAATTCCAGTGCAGCCTGAGCGAGACAAATCTGGCACAAACTAGCGACTTCACCAATGATCAGATATCAGGAGCTTGCGAGATACCAGCGATGCATTGCATAGGAGCGATACGCTGGTGACCTACCAGTGGCGTCTCGCCGGATCAAGCTGTTCGCGCGGACGAACATCCACGAGAAATCGCTGCGTTGTTCGCGGATTCCCCGAGACATCAAAACCAGTCCTCCAAGAATTGGCCCACGGGCTTCACCACCTCCGTCGATGACAGTGACAACGACGCATGGTCCGTTCGCGCAGCGCGAGCCGCGAGGAGGTAGAAGCGCTGGCGACTGTTGGGGAAGCCGAAGTCCAAAGGCGTTAGGAGCGCCCTCGGCGTTAGGAGTGTGCACGGAGTCGGCGCATTTTTTTTGTCGTGTGACTCACTAACATGCATGGAGATGGAAACCATTGGAAACCATCCTGTTCGTAGAAGAAAATAGCCTGGTCCATGTTCATCCATTTCCACTTCCCATGTTGGTGAGTTGGGGTAGATTTGCTTTGTTGGATGTTGGTTACTGCCCCTGCTGTTGAAGGAACAACAACATCCGCCGTGAGTGCCGTGGTAAAAGGGCCAGCTTACGGCGGCGCAGGAGTTCTTCCAGCTTGAAGAGTTTCAAGCGGCAAATGGAACTGCAAAGGTTTCTGGTTTCTTGTGGCATGTCATGCCCTACATTGGACTCTGTCCCACCCTGCTGACCTTCAATCAAGGCGGCCCACAAGTCCAATATATGACTGTACTTACTGTAGTCTTCCTCTTTTGAAGGAGGGTTCGCTATTTTTTCAAAAACAGCGCTTCCAAAGGAAGAATATCTGTCCATGCGTGTCCAAGACGCTCTCGAGTAGCATAGCCACATTGATGCAATGTAGATGTCAATCGTGCGTGCGCCACGGAATGTTGAAATTCTGGGACGTTCTCAAGCAGCAAGCCCTCGCCGATTGGATCCACCAGGGAATTGGCACCCTGAGATCTTCATCTTAAGCGGAAATATGTCATGTGGATATGATGCATAGAAACATCATCAAGGGCATGGAACCATTGATTCATTTGATGAATGAATGTCCCGACAATCCAATCCCATAGAATCCCTCGACATCACAATCCCTTTTCATCCCTCGATCCGAGACCGAGAGCTGGGCCGAAGAGAAAAAGCAAGCCACAAAGCCCTATGGATCCACATACAGAACCTCAGAAGGTAATTGCACCTTCCAAGCCTACACAAATAGTCTCCAATCACCGTACCTCAGAAGGTATGTGGATCCATATGGGATGTTTTCTGACCAGGAGTGACAAAGGGGTGCCTATTGGAGGATAGGCTAGGGGTGCTCACTGGATGGGACTAAAAACCACCCAACTCCATGTGACTCCTGCGAGGGAATCTGTGTATCGTCCCTAAATCCGGTCACTGCCCAAACACGACTCTCACAGAGTCTCTGCGCACTCAGAACTGCATTTTGCGCAACACCCTTCGCCTTCAGTCCATGATGGGATCATATGAGATGGCCGTTGTATCTAGGATCTTAAGATCTGCCCAAGTCTCTCTCAAACAACGCGGGCGTATCCAACAGCAATATTCCTACCAGGACCTTCCCAACGACAGTCCTCCAGATCCAGAATGAAATCATTTACATGCCGGTCTTGAAAGGATCACTTATGACCCATGTGAGACTTCAGAAAGTCCCAGTCTTGCGAGAGATTCAGGAGATGAGAGAAACTTGAAGGCAAAGTTCACATGGAAGGTTTTGAAGCTTGGCATCGATTGTTCGTCCATCGAGAAACCACACTCGGGCCATGTCCACACCAGGCACCGGTGAAGCGATGTCCAAAACCAAATGCGTCGAAAAACCACGGCAGTGCCTCACTCAAAGAACATCCAGGCCTACCGAAGGGCCCCTACTACAGACATTCCACAAGAACACATTTAAAAAACATCCCCCAAAAAACCGCTAGCTGCCATCTAGCTGCCATTTCGAGGACATTTCCACCGTTCATCAAGTTCATTTCCCCCTCCTTCGGCGCCTTCGGCTTCTGTTCCAGTCGCGGCAAGGCGTCCAAGAGCCGCAGCAGCGCCTTGCAGCGGGGGTCCCAAACATCACGGCGGCGCCCGGTGCGCGTGAAGGGTTGGCACCTAGGGCCGTTGAAGTCTGGGCCGGCCGTGTGGTGAGGGACATGGGGTTGTACGGTTTTGTGAATGTGTTTTTTCTTGGAAGAAGGTTGATTGAAGAGGGTCTGAACATGTAACATGTTCAGGGTCGATATGTTGTGAACTGGAGTCCTTTGTGTCGGAGATGCTCGCATAGAACCTGAAGGTAGACGAACACAGGAGAAACATGAGTTGTCCTGTATTGCGTCGTCAAAGAAAGTTCTAGAATCTAGAACAATTCAACCTGATGGTGTCGGAAGCCTGAGAGTTTTGCTCGCCAAGACCAAGACCGTGCATCCACTATATGCTTGGTACATTAACCAATACCCTAGGATTCAAACAACCATTGTTTTAATGGTCTTTACCAAAGAACCATTGTTTTACTAAGGATTTTTAAACTACACCACCAGCTCAACCGTTCTTTTAATGGTCTTTGAAGGCTAGGGAATAGTTTAATATATATATATATATTATATTATTTTATGGTAAGCCTTAGAATGACCTGACCTTCCCAATGTCCACATGTCGATCATCATGAATCGTCAGCTAGTGCTCCACGAACCCAGTGTATCAACGATGACGTTGTGGACTGTCTCATCCTAATCCCAGTAACGATGCCCTTTTTCCTAGTAGCTTCTTGCTACTATAGTAGTAAAGCCAGTAGCGATGCCCCTGTTACTTGTAGCATCCCCAAACCCATCGAAGAAAAGGTGCGGAGGGCTCATCAGCCATAGATCCGCCCCTTCGAAGGCCGCGTCTGGCAGCCGGTCGATCGAGCAGCACCACAGCTCATCCTCCTGCGTCGACATGCAGCCGGTCGACCGAGTCCTTTAGGAATGCCAAGCTCTTGGACACCCAACTGCCGACTGCACCTACCCTCAAATATCAGCAACAGTCCCAGCGCTTTCCCAACACAACTCCGAAAAACCAAAAAACTGACTCACTGACCAACACACAAAGAAAAACGTAGGGTTGAGCAATGAAGGCAATGAAGGATGTTTTTCCAACACGTGAGAAAACCATGAAACATCACTCACTATACCCAATCCAAGCATCTCCATGCGCCTTGTGTGCTTGCACAGCTAGTTTCGGCTCCTTTGACGCTCTCATCCAGGGTTCCATGTGCTGGACGCCCCGTAAAGCCCGGGCGCCATAGAGATCCTCATAGACCTGGCAGCACACCTGGCCACACGAAGCGTTGGGTATAGTAGCACGCGGCTCAACCACGGAAATGGTGAAGTTTGGGCCTTGGTATGAACAAAAGGGCACGGCGTGTACACAAACGTAAGACTTGGACGAACACGTCTAGCGAGTTGCCAAAGAATCCTTTAGAAGCCAACATACTGTAGATTTGATGACTTCATCGACGCAGCCCCTGCCACAACTTCAAGAGAAAGCACCCCGTGACGGGCAAATTGATGGGGCGAAGCCAGTTGTTGGTGTCACAAGGAGTAGGGACTGAGTAGGGATCGAAGAGCGGTTGCATGCTGTTTATGGATGGTATTAGATTCTGTGCAATCACCGCCTTTAGAAGTCACGACTCTAAGGCACATGTCCGTCCGTTGGAGGTCCATGTAGTTCAAACGTACACGGTGAATGAGGGTTTGCGGCCATTCTCCAACTACTGGGCGTTGGTGGTCCACATTGGATTGCCGGCCGCAAAACACTTGCAGGGGTAGAATCAGGGTGGGGTGGAGTTGGGATAAGCAAGTGGGTCATGCAATCAGCCAACCACAATTTAATCAACCAATCAATACACCGACAACGCAACATCAGCTAATCACATGATCAGTCAACCGTCAATCAAGTAAGCAAACATCAAGCCAAACGATCAATCAAGCCAGTTGTAGTCCCTGGTAGAGGTGGCGGTCATTTCTCAGGGATTCCACTAACCCAAAAAAGACCAAAGGAGAAGTTGAGAGTTGACAGACCCTTTATGGTGGCAAATATATGGGAGGCAAGATTAACATGGAACCTGACCATGGAACTTTAGAACTCTTTAGGAGACCATTTTCCCCTACAACCCAGTGGCTTTTAGGCTCCATGTTAATTTTCCAGGGCGTAGGCTGTTTGCTGCTGTTCAACCTGTCGAGGGAATTGGCACCCTGCTGCTTGCCAACCTTGTCATTCAGCTTTCGCGGGGGAATCCAATGTTCAAGGAACTGACCCTGGAGGAAAATGCACCTTTATAAATGGATGACCGCATTCAAAACATGCTCCATCAAAATAAATCAAAACAGCTAGGATTAAATTCGTCCTTTGGGCTCATCTTCCTCACAGTTGCAAGCTGGCGAACAACTCGAACTCCACGCCCCTGCGACCCCCGCACGGGCCTGGTCGATCTCATAGGCCCTGAAACGTGTCGCGTTTCGGGCTCGCGCGGGCAGGGAGCGTTCTGCGGACGTGTAGCCCAAGCGGAGGCCGCCGAGGCCACCTGCCAGTGGTGGACCAGCCCGGGATCATTGCATGAGTCCACGTGAGGTGTTCACATCGACATCGTTGAAAAACATGATCCAACAGAATATCCTCAGTGCTAATTTGGGCGTGGGTGTGAGAGCGAGTCCTGACCTTCAGCCCGGAGAACGTCGGTTTCTGCAAATTATATCCGTGGTGTTTTCGGTGACCTTGTCATGGATTGTTTGTCGTCCAGGGTTCTGATGGCTAGCAAGACTTCCACAATCACTAGTCTATGTGTGCAAACGGGCCGTTTTTGCAGGGTCCTTTTCCGTCCCGCCCCGGTGGTCACCTGGCCCCTAATCACACCTGCTTTCGACTAAGAAACTGAAGAACTCGTAGACCACATCGCTCGAGTGCGCGGACTCCGCCGTGCGCCGTGTGCGAAGCCGCGGACGTCTCCGATGGCACACCTGGATGAAGGATGGCAGGTGATTGGAGTAGCCTGTAAGGCATTCTTTCTTTCTTTCTCGTGCCAAAGGTGTGCTGACTAACCGGCACTAACTCAAAGTTCTATGAAAGAGTTTGTCACACCCGTAGGCACCCCTAAAAGGCCAGCATCACTGAGTACATCTTGCGCAGCAAGTAAACAATAAGAACCACACAAAGCAATTTAATGTAGTATCTTACTAAGTAGTAGCGAAGTCCAGGTCAAGCCTGGTGAGAACTTGCTTTTCAATACAAAATCATCAGAATTCATCAATGCCTGTAAGGCATTGAACGCTAGAAATCTGTGGGGGAAGCAAATCTTGGAAAAGTCCGTGGGCCAAGGCTCGTGGCCTTAAGAAAGTAGATTGTTTTTAAACCTGTTTCCCTATAAGATTGACTCATCGGTGTTGAATACTGAAAATTATATAGGTCTTTCATGGGCGTTTTAAAGGCTGCCATCCCTTGCGGGCCCGTCTTCACCTGCAATGCCAAATGAAACACCACGACGGTCCCGGCCAGCACGGGCGGCCCTCCAATTGCCTCGGCTGATTGTAGCTCAGATTGTTGTACCTTGTTGGACGCCGACAAATGAAAAATGATCTATTTCACAAACGAACCCCTTGCTCGACAGCGAAGTGTTACAGCGGGCCATGTATTGTGGACGTTGCATCATTGCATCAGCCCTTGAACATAAGTATCCCAAGGAATTGCAAGTTGGCAAGCCCTTAGAACATTTCATTGAAATGATTGCTTTCTTGTGGAAAACAGCAAAAACCCACTTACTATCTTTACTATACCTTTTCTGGAAATCTGAGATTTTTCTCTTACACAGTCACGGAAAATGGAGCCTCCTCAATGAAACTTCATGTTCACTCACTTGGGAGATCCACCGCTCGTTGAATATGACCGACAGTCTCAACCGCCCAACCTGCCAGTCTCGGCCAAAGGCTCCGTGCGCCGTGGCACCGTGGGCGCCGTGCGACGGGTCAGGGGTCTTACGGAGGTCAGCAGGTCCGGCACGGTGGCCATGGCGCTCCATTTGGGGATGGGTCGCACCTCCTGAACCCGAGGTGGACCCAAACTATCAACCATAACATGTTGGCCCACTCACCTCATATTCGCGCCTTTTCATGCAGTGAGCTGGCGATTCGTTCATGGGAAAACATGCGTTGACATGCTCAGCTAATTGTTTTTACTGCAATGGAAGTTTGGGCGGCTTCACCCACAGCCACATTGGTCCAGGGACTCATGGATGTCGGCGCATGTGTGTGTGACAAGAGAATTCCTTGGGCTCTTGGCCGGCCTCCCCGAAAAGAAACATGGAACGAGTTTCCGGGCCGGGATTTTTGGCTGGCTGCGGTATGCTTCGCAGGTATGCTTCGCGCGAAGAATATGGAAATAACATGTTTACAGGGTATGTTTTTGGGGCATGCTTCGCCTGAGTTGAACATCCCTGCTCTTCATAAACTGGACACTGCTTGAGACATACAAACCTGCGTCTCTCTTCGATGGACATTGGAGGTGACGCCACCCGCAGGAGCTGCTATTCATTGAGCCGATTCAATGTATGTTAATCTAGGTACACCCACCAACCTCTTCAGCAAAGGAGCATAAATCACAGCCTGATTGAAGCGACTTCGACTTTCCCTGCAAAGGTCTACTCTTGTACAGAGCCATGCCCACCGGCACGGTCACACCGCCAAACCCGCCGACATTCTCACAGTGCTAAAGCCAACGGCACTCTCACAGTGCCATACCCACCGGCACTCTCACAGTGCCAAACCGGTGGGCACAGTGCCAAAGCCACCGGCACTCTCACAGTGCCAAAGCCGCCGGCACTCTCACAGTGCCAAAGCTCTCACAGTGCCAAAGCCACCGGCACTCTCACAGTTCCATACCCACCAGCACTCTCACAGTGCCAAAGCAACTGGCACTCTCACAGTGCCATACCCACCGGCACTCTCACAGTGCAAACCCACCAGCACCCTCACAGTGTCAAAGCCACCGGCACTCTCACAGCGCAAAACCCACCGGCACAGTGCCAAAGCCACCAGCACTTTCACAGTTCCATACCAACCACAGTGCCATACCCACCGGCACTCTCACAGTGCCAAAGCCACCGGCACTCTCACAGTGCCATAGCCACCGGCACTCTCACAGCGCCAAACCCACCGGCACAGCGCCAACCCAACAGCGCCATCCTATTGGCAGCGCCATACCCACCGGCACTCTTACAGCGCCATCCTAATGGCGCTCTTACAGCG